AGTTCGAGAGTTTTTTACTTCCCGAGCGTAAGCTATAAGGGAATATTATAATAGGGTCCGTTTGGCAAATAATCACTTTCATAGACTCTCGACGTTTCATGACCCTTAGTGTACGAAAAATACGGCTCCGTTTCCCTTTATCGGGCGTCTGCTGTCTGTGTCGATTTTTGTTAGATAGATAATCTCTGAAACGGCCGGGCCGATTTTTGTGAAATTGTATATGTGTTCGGAATATCATGTAAATGGTTTAACGCTAACCAACCGGTGTCTTATCACCCCCATCAACAATGTGATGACGTCGCCTGAAAATTGTGCATGGTGAATTTTATTTAAATGTTATAAAATAATATACCTACATCAAGATTTTTGAGCAAAAAATAAAAATTATATAACATTTTACAATTTAACTTTGAGACTATAAAACCAAATACAATATATTGCAAACTTGTTTCAAAGTTATCGTAAACATGGTAAATTATTAATGAAAAGTTATGTGTTTATCCCCTTCCTCCTCATGATGACGTTATCTCAAAATTTTACCAAAATTTACGAAATGTAATGAGTTCATATCAATGCATTCATATTTTTTACTTCCCGAGCGGAAGCTACGAAAGTATTGTAATCGAGTCCATCACGCGACTGGCTACTTTTGTGTTTTCTCGACGTTTCATGATCCCTAGAATACGAATAAGTCTCTTGTCAAAACTACCGGACCGATTGCTGTCAAATTTTATGAATATGTTACAAATACCGTGTAGATGGTAAAACGCTAACCAAAATTTGTCTAGTCATGCTCAGCAACAATTGATTGACGTCAGATACGTCTACACTTGTGTTGATTTTTACTTCCCGAGCGTAAGCCAAGGAAGTATAATAATCAAGTCCACCGGCCGAATTGCCACTTTCATATTTTCTCGACATGTCATGACCTCTAAAATATGAAAAAAAGTTGTCTCCCGTTTCCGTCTGTCTATCTGTCTGTCTGTATCCATTTTTATTAGACAAGTACTCTCCTAAAATTTCACTAATCATCCCCACCACCAGTAGGGATGACGTCATCTTCAAAATGTATAATAAAAAGTTTTTTTTTAATTTCATAAAATAAGATACTCCTGCACTTTTGTTGCGTGAATCCGTATCGAATTTTCACCCTGGAAATCCAGATTTTTTTTGGAAAAAATCTAAAACTGAATAACAAAATTTTGCAACATGACTTTGAAACTGCAAAATCGATTGCTTTGAAATCCTGTAAATGTTTTAAGGTTATCGTAATCATGGTAAATCGTTAAACAAAAGTTATTCGTTTAATCCCTTCCAAAAATTGATGACGTCATCTCAACATTTTGCCGAATAAATCCTATGCAAAATGTGCAAAATATGATGAATCTATACGTCTGATTTATCATTGCATTAAATTTTTTTAAAGTTCATATACAGGCTGAGTCATAAAAGTTAATGAATGATTATTTTATTGATTAAATCGGGAACGCCTGACTCAATTTTCCACAAAATTTGGAAGTACAATACTGCTACCATCAAGGTTGGAAAAAATCAGATTTAAAAAAAATCACGGTTTTTTTTTTGTATTTTTCTTTGATTTTTTTTGTTTTCTTAATTGTTTCTGATTTTTTAATTTTTCTTGGATTTTTTTAGTTTTTCGGTTACCCACAATAATTCAGACTTCAAAAGTAAAGTACATAATAGGAAAAAAATCAAAAGTTATGTGACTTAAGTTTGAAGTTTTAATTATTTTTATTCAGTTTTTAAAAGCTTTATATTTTATTTAGTTGTTTTTAGTAATTTTCATTTTCTGCGTATTTCCAAACATTCACAAATAACAAATATGCGGCACTGTCCTATTTGAATCGTGCTTCTGTCGGCAAATGTAAACTGCAGCTAACGAAAAAAATACTTTACTTAAAAAAATCGGACTGTGTTTGTAAATTGCAGCGGATCTTTCGCCTTCGAGGTGTCTCAGAACGGTTACGTAAATTTCGGCGGTACGCAGGTGTACCCTTATTGAATTAAATTGCATTTAAAAGACTGTAACATGCATTATATGTTTGTAATTCAAAAAAAAAATTTTAAAAATCAATAATGATTTAAATCAGGCCAACCCTGGTTATCATTAGTATTACACCGCACCTATCCAAAGTATCTTTGCAAAAATGTTGATGACGTCATCACAAAATTCTGTCAAGGGTAAACTCATTTGGACCGTGCGCGCAACACTTTTCTTTACATTTACATACCTATCTGTATTTTAATTTATAAACGTTCTAATAAAAAAATAAAATTGGCAAAATCAAATTTTACAATTTTTCGAAAAAGCTGGATTTGTGTTATTGTATTTTAGGGACGAGGGAAGTTCTGTCGAAATAACCTTCGACCAATAGACATTCAGACTGTTGGAGAAAATAGCAAAATTGTATAAAAACATTTTGCAATTTAACTTTGAAACTGTAAAACCTAATTTATCCGTTGATACCTTCCCAAAAAATTGATGACATCATTTAAAAATTTTGCCCATTAAATGTTCTTTAAATTTTATGAAATAACATACAGATTTTTAAGAAAAAAATATTGTTTAACATTTTATAATTTAATTTGAAATTGCAGAACCGAATTTTGTGAAATCTAGCAAACATTTTAAAGTTTGTTTAGTTGCGAACGAAAATATATTTAATCATGTGCACCAAAAATCTGATAATTTTATCTCAAAATTCTGATAAGTAAGCCCCGTTTAAAATGTGCAAATTAATATACCTCGCATGTGTGATATAGTAATCCGCTTGTATTATTATTTTGGGTTTTTTTTTTTAAAAAAAAAGCAAAATTGTAGAATAAAGTTTTGCGATGTAACTTAGAAACTAGGATACTGGTTACTCTGAAATATTTCATATTCTTTAGTGTTATGATGAGTGTAATAAATTGCTAAACAGAACTGAACTGTTAAGTTCTTCCAAAAACTTGATGACGTCATATGAAAATTTTGTTGAGTAAATCGTAAAATTTTAAAGAATTGTAATTTATGGGGCAACATGTATTTGTTGTTTATTAGTGAATCCACAATAGTAATAAAAATTGTAAAAATAAATTTTACAGCTTCTCTTAAACTCTACGAAACGACCTTTTCCAATTTCAGACAACATAGTTACTAATAATAATTAGAGAATTCCGATTAAAAATATTTCCTCATCCCTTCAAGAAAAGTAATGACGCCATCACACACATTTTTAATTAAGAAAAATGCTTCGAAGTGCCATTGTGTTTTCACTGTAGTAATATATTTAGATTTTTGTTTATTCGCGATATTTAAAAAAAATAGTGAATGCATCAAATAATTACTGAACCGTAAGTACAATGGGGTGGACGATACAATCGTCGTCGAACACCTATCTTGACTTCAAACTTTTATTATGTATTTAAAAAATTAATTTTAAGTTATTTAAACAGAATCTCCCACGCCTCAAAAGCACAATCACTGAAATGAGTCCAATTTCTTACATAAATTATAAGGTCTCACTCTACGATTTTTTTTTTTATGAAATTAAATTAAAAAATCTTTTCCCAGTGAAAATAAAGTTTTTGTGATAACATCATCAAATTTTTGGTTTAATGGTAAAATAGTACTGTATTTTTTAATTTTATATTTACCGAACATCATTTTGTGCCTGGATATTTTAAGTTCCATAGCTCGATCAGATATAATAGAGATTGCCACATAATGGGTGTTCAGTTGTAAATGTCATCAATGTGGCGTTGCTTTTTTCATGTGTTTTTTTTAACCCAAACTGGTGGGTGGTACAATTGACATTTTCGCATTGTCAGCTGCCATCGATTAAATTTTAGGTTTATTGTAGACATACAAAAAATCAAGACCAGCTTGATGACTTTTTTAATTGAAAACCCGATATGTTTAGACATTTATTATACAGGATGTTTCCTAAACCTTTCTTACTATTCCTTGGGTTATTTTAAGTTTTTTTTCCTTGAAATATTATTTTTGCCGCATATGTATGTAAATATTTTGCGGCTTCTTTTCTTCAGTGTTGTTATCCTCTGCCACTTTGGGTGAACAATACAGATTCCATGAAATATTAATATAAACAAAATTTGCCAAACAGAATTGTGAAAGGTCTAATTTTGGTAAAAGTTAAGAATGATACAACGTTAAACTCACGCAGCAAATGAAAATACCTGCATACACGAATACCATTATGAGAATACTAGCGGGTTTGGTTCCATCGAAAAAAGTCAACAAAAACCGAGTTTTTTCGTTTCAGTTTTCCTGTCTCTTGTTATTCCCTTTTGCTTTTAATTTTCATTGTTACCAACAAAAATACATACTTTTCTCGGTAACCATAGACATTTTGAATTTCGTTATAAAATACCACCATTGCTATCAATATTGTTGCCGTTACAAGAATAGTTATAGTTGCTACATAAACATTTTTTAACAGTTAACCAGTGATGCAAATTTACATACATTGTCAAATTACTAATATGCTACCTTTATCTAACATAAAAACCTAACTTTAATCAAAGACATGCGGTGATTATAAAGAACAATTGAAGCTGGGTTTAACGCTTTAAGAAAAAATATGCCTCGATAGTTTCCATTATAAAGTGACCAGTTTTCAACAGACATCATGTTTGTAATTAATTCTCTTTGGTATCCGATTTACCATGTATGATTAATTTAACTTCCGCTCTCTGGTGACAACAAATAACAATGTCGCCATGTAAGATTTTAATAATACCAGAACAACACCATAAACAACATCACTCTCCACACCCCCAAGAGACGGAAGGAAACAGCGAGCTTTCTGCAACCGCACCGCTTTGAAACAAACAAAGCTGGATAAGGAATCTGGAACCTTCGCGTGTAGCGTTATTCAAATTGCGTCCAGAATTTATGTGTCGGTCTGCCCCAACAGCAATCGATAGCGCACCATTCAAGTCCAGAGCCGTTCTCATTACGTTGTTTTTTTTTGCAGGTGCGAATAATGGAACAGAAGCTGGCATGGTCGCAGCAAAGTGACCCGAACAACGTTCAAATCCATCGTCTGGAAGGCGAAGTGGAAGAGCAACGACAGTTGCGGCTCCACGACGCTAGGCAAGTCGAAGCGAAAGCGGCTAGAATTAAAGAATGGGTGACGAATAAACTACGCGAACTCGAACAGCAGAATCAGACTCTGCGAGAACAGAACATCAAGTGCAATCAGCAGTTGGAGCTGCTTCGGAACCATCTGGCGCTGGCTGACAGGAGGAGGTCCGAGAGTTGCTCCCCGGAACCAAGGCTAGTATTAAAATGTCAAGTTTTTGTTTTGTTATTTAATGCGGAGGTGTGAGGTGAAGTGTCAGTTCAGCTACCGTCGAAACAGCACGAAGTGTGGGAGTTCAAGCAGAAAGGAACGTTACTAAGCATACTCGTATAACATAATTTTCTGTACTTTTTCATGACAGTGTCCATTTGTTTATCTCGTTCTCTTTTGACCTGCTATTTCAAGGTGGCACTGGAAAATATAAAACGAAAAGCAGTCATGATAGGATACTTGGAATATGTTGTGTTGATCGCGGTACATGTCACAGTGAAATTTACATATTATCCCAAATAATAAGGTCGTATTCTTTCCTGCCAGTCATTCAACTATGTACTATGTACTTAAACAATTAAAATTAACCGTCGAGGAATGTGGAAGAAATTTGTAGTGATTTATTGGAAATTTATAATTTTAAAAAGTGTGTGTCATCTTTGGTAGAATGTTAATTTGAAATTCTCAAGAAAATACTGCAGTATGACCAACGTTGGTTTTTATTTATTACGATAATGTGAATTATAACGTTTTGACGACTTATATCGTGAAAATTGTGTTATACATATTTACAGTATGTTTTTAATAAAACTCACTTGATTTCCTGATCTCTAACAATTTTTTAGATGTTTTATATTTCATCCTATTTAAATTATGTTAAATAACAACTCAAACAAATTTATGTAACAAGTACAAAGCAGAGAGTGCAATAAAGTACCAAGTTATCAGTGGTCGGTATCTTGTTGACAGAAAAACAAATGTGATGAATTAAATTAAAAATGTTACATTTGATATGGTTCCGTCTACGCACATGTATATTCTATTCTATGTTAGTAGTTTATGCGCTTGAGTTATGAAATACTAATCATCTAAATCCTGCGGACGTGGCTGCTTTCATTCCTGACTCGTGGTTTAAGAAGAGACAAAAATATTACAACGTGCATTTTATGACTTGACGCGTAAGTTTGTGAAATGCAGTTTACTACCGCACGTGTACACGTGTAAATCGTGTTACAAAAATCCGCCTACGTTTCATCCTTAGTTACCCCAGCATATTTTCTAAATAAAAATGAGTGGAAAAGTCTTGGTAGCGATTCATTACCTCAAAAGTCGCTAATAAAATGAACCATAAAGAACAGCATATCTAAAATTAAAAATTTACAAAATTCTCCCAACACTTTCCAATCCTAATGAAAGTCATCCTCATAGCTAAATAATAAGAAAATAAAAAACGTAAATCAAAACTACATTGTAAGATGGAAGTGAAGTTTTTAATTACGTCCCTGATTGCAGAGAAGGATTTGTTTTTGTAATTTATCATGGCATTTCATTTGACATTTAACGCACACGCGTTAAGATCAATTAATTGGTGGTTATTGATTTGTAAACTTTCACACATAAATAATTGTAGAACGATTAAAGCCGAAAGTTATGGTATTCATAACTTCAACAGAAAATGTAATCATATTTTTCAGTACAATACTCGAAAAACTCGTAGAAATTTTTCTGAATTTTTAAAAAATAATAAACAGTAATATACATATTCTGAACCAGCAATTAATTTTATTGATTCTTAGACCAGTTTAACAACTACAAGCACAACTCGTAATGTGTTGCAGATTTTCAATCTGCGAGTTTGTTTGTTTTTGTTTGGTTTCATTTCTTTATAGACACACATTTGATGGCAATAAATACTATAAACATTTGACGTTTGTAGAGTTGTGCGCAAAATAATCTCTTTCGTATTCATAAACATCTGTCGGCGTCTGAAGCTTATTGCAATTGTTTGCAACCTGTTGCGGTACTGAAGGAAACAATGATGATATAAAAAGATTATTACATATAATTTTCACTACAATTTTACACACTATTGATAAAGTTGACTTTCTCTTACGAAAAAATAGTAATGAAATGAATAAGAAGATTAATCTTCTCATTTTTGAAAAATGACGGTTAACAAGATAGATTGACTTACAAAAATCAGGCCAAGATTCATTTAGGTCAGGTATCTACTCACTTGTGAATTTTCATTTGTATTCGTTTACCTATCAAGTATTTTATTAGTTGCGAAAAATTGTGAATTAAACACATCATCTAAACTTGCAGAAAAACTGTGAAAGTAAACTTTATAAAATAATATACTCCTATACTTGTGGTTTATGAATTCACCTAGGCATCCAAATTTTCGTAAAAATCTAGGTTTAGGTACAGTATAGCTAAAAATTAAACAATTTTTCGACACCTACTTAATGGCATCTTACGGCCTGTCGATTGCTTCGTCAATTTTTCTTCTTCAGTTCTACCGAGAGAGCAATAAAAACACGATCCAAAGACAACCATGGATGTGCATTGTTGTTCATATGCCACACTTCTTTCACATAAAAAAATATTATTAAAATGCTCTGAAACTGTATACGAAAAAATTTAACTAATTTTCCTCTTTCTTAACAGGCAACATACATCGACGACTAGCTCTTCCCGAAGCAACCGCCACCGCAGACATCAGTCGGTCTGTCTGTCTAGCAATTTCGAACCAGCTGTGCCCAGCACACTGGTCACTAGTGTCAATTTCGGAACGAGCAATTCAAGTATGGACCCTTTAACGGACGAACTGAGAGCCGCTGTTGATAATTTGAGCATAGGCAGGGTTCCCAGCAGCAGCGCCTCAGATCCGGATTTGGCACATGATTACGCCGAGATTTACACGCCGAGTCGGGAAAAAGTCCCTTGGCCTAGGGCTCCAACGCCTCCAATTCACAGGTTTCCAAGTTGGGAAGATAGGATTTATCAGGTATTCCATTGGGATTTTTTGATTAGGGTAGGGAGTGAGTGCGAAGGGCGTCTTGACGTCTGTCACAAATTTCAAAAAATCCAGGTGAGGGCAGCGGCAATATTCGTTGCGTTGTATTGGAGTTCCGGGAATAGGGTAATTTACTGTAAAACGTAGACTGTTAGAAGGTTCCTTGGCTATAAGGCTTTCTGATACCAGTAGCAGTCACCAGAACTAAGATACAGAATTTTGTTTTTCTTAGTCAGTTCATACTTCTCCGAAACTGATTCAGAGCATAAGTTAAGTCACCTTACTTCTCAGATCGTTTAACAAACCTGTAACATATCTCAAGTCAGAGTGTATTAGCAGTAATTAAATCTATTAGGTTTTGTGTCTCCTAACCACATTAAAACTGTCACCAAAGTTCTGACTCCAGAAAATAGATTATTTTTTATGAACAAAATACAAACAAATAAAGTGAAGCACGTCGTTGGAGACCGTCTGCACATGACGTTAATACTTTTAGCGTGGGATATTGATATCCATGTCTCCCACATCTCTTGAGTATAGAAAAGTATAGCATGTTTCTATGGATAACAAAACGCTGTTATAAGTCATAACAATATTACCGCGGTAATTAAATAGTACTAGAACAATTATCTGAAAAACAATTGAAATTTTTGTGAGTGTTTTTGTTAAAAAATTATGCGAACAACAGTAGTTAATATTCAGTCAATTCTTATAATGTCTTAATCTTAGAGACTGAAATAACCCGACTCCACCCCTTTTTTTCAAATTGTTCGAGTATTCTGTTGTCATGCAAATTACATAGACTAGACATTCTCAAATTACTTAAACGATTTACAGTAAAATTAAAAACTTCATAATAAGAATGTTAAAGTAAAGGAATTTACGCTTTTAAAATATTTCATACTTTTGAGATGCATCTTGTTTTGTTGCATATTAACGATTTGTCTCTTATTTTTCGGGATTTTCATTCCTTAATCGGGAATTAAATTTAAACTGGAGCTGTCAAGTTTAAATTTCAAGACTCCGTTTTATTTTAAAGTAGAAGAATGTGTCTGTCTTTTCTAACAGGTGGCAGCAGATGGATTGACGTTGACCGGAACCACTCCCAGTGACATCGGTCCTGAGCAAGCAGGCTACCAAGACATACCTGTTCCAGTATATGCAACGGTGAAGGGTCGGGCAAGTCAAATTCGGTCTATGCCATTCACTGGCGACTCTTCGGACGATTCTAGTGACGGTGAAGGCAATAACACAACGGCCGTCGATGGCACTAATACACACAGTAGAAGTTCGGGTGATACTTCCGGTTCTAGTCCGGGAAAACGGACAGCTTCCAGCAGTAGTGGTTCTCCGAGCAAAAGCAAGACGAGAGGTAAAGATAAATGTTTTTTCTTTTGTTAAATCGCACTAACATATATGTTGTGTGCTTGCATCATGCCTGCTTCTCTGTGTAGAAGTGCCTCCATTAACATTTACACGAAGGTGTTTCAGACACTTCGTTCGAATCCGGTATGTCGGATGACTATGCCGTACCGCCAGATGCTCTCAGTTGTGATACCACTAGTCTAGAGTCGTCGATGTTGCTTAGAGCGTCCTACTTAGATAGTCCGAAACGGATCGAAAGCTTAGAGAAAAGCGGATCTTTAGCTAAATTAGGTACGTCTTCAAACTAACAATTGTTACGGTTGTCGGTTTGCGTGCACTTGCTTTGTGAAATTCGGGTTAAATCACATATACCGAGTGTTTAAAATTTTGTTTAACCAACGATATCTTGTTTACTGGTGATAATGATGATACCGATCAGTCTGCATAAACAAGGGTGGACGGTCTTGAGAAATGCGTATTATCCTAAAAACGATATATTGTCAGTGTTGTCATTAGTAATTGTGTTATTCCCAAAATAATAAATTTTACCGTTTTCTTATTCTGCAGCTTTTGACACTTTGTAACAATACTACGTTTGTCATTAGAAATTTTCAAGTTAGAATAAAATGCCTCGAAAATATTGAAGTTCCATCCAACTAATGAACTAGTAGTGAATATTCTATGAAACATAAAAAATGAATAAAGGAATTATATCAATGGGTTTACCGCACATATATTTTTTGCACTCTTTTACGTATCTATCCATAATAATTTTTCATGGATTTCCATAGCATTGAAAACCCACCCATCGTGTATTGAAGACTAAATTGTATACTTTATTTTTGCAGGACGTTCAAAAATTCTGATCGACTTATCGTTATGATCGATATTTTGCATAACCATTAAAATATCTCATTTATTCATAAGATTTTTTGCAACCACGTTAATTCCTTGTTTATCTTTTCTCCCTTAACATTTCTGAGTCATTATAATGTCGAGCCAAAGTGATAAAAAAATTTACAATCATGATTTATTAGTGATTGATAAAACCTAAAATTGACTGTACATAGCAAAAATGCGTGCCAGTTCAGTGGTTGTAGAATTTTGAAAAGAAAGAAAACCTCTGGGAAACATAATTTACGCCAAATATCAAGTTCAAAAGATCAAACGTTCTGAACAACATCCGTAAAAGGCATTGGAAATGTTATACCACAAGCTACTAGAAGTTAGTCTTAAGTGTATCTCTACCATTTTTTCATTCAAACACTGAAGTATTGATTTTCCGAACGTCGTCAAAATTGGTTTTAAAATTGTTGAGTCATGTGACTTTCTTTTAATTAAATCGCTTAAATCAGTATATTTGATTCCAGTAAACAAGGTATTGGCTATTTCATTACATCTAAGATAACTCAGCATAAATTTCAACTGCCGAGAGCAACCAGATAAGACATTTTTTATTTAGGTGGGAAGTTGAAAACTTGGAGAAAGAAGTGGTTCGTCCTCAAAAACGGCGTGCTGACTTACTACAAGAGCCAAAGTGATATCAATCGAAAACCTCAGGGTCAAATAATCTTAGATGAAGTTTGTAAAATTACGCGAGCTGAAGGATCAAACACTTTCGAAATAGATACAGGGAAAAAGACGTATTACTTAACGGCAGATTCGATTACTGCCATGGAAGATTGGGTTAGGATTCTTCAAAACGTACAACGAAGAAACGCAACTAAATTATTACTGAGTAAAGAAGAAAATAAACCGTCAGTTCAAGGATGGTTAACGAAAGTGAAAAATGGTCACGCGAAAAAGTGTTGGTGCGTGCTGATAGGAAAAATGTTTTTATATTTCAAATCCCCGACAGACACGGTAAGCCGGTGTTTTCACGATGCTTTTTTATTTTAATTTATTGCTGTAGACGCCAGCTGGTCAAATCAATATGCGCGACGCGAGGGTGGAAGAAGTTGAACATTTCTCAGATTCGGATTCGGAGGAAAGAGACACGGAACACCCTGATTTGACAATCGGTATATTTCCGACCAATCAAGGGCCTACGTATCTTTTGTGTTTGGGGAAACAAGTGATAACGTTATTATCGTTTAAGCGAAAGATATTTAATTTCGTGTTGTAGGAGAAAGATTCGTGGTTGTATCACTTGACAGTAGCCAGTGGTGGTGGCCCTAGCACCGGTACTCAGTACGAACAACTTATTCATAAGCTGATGGAAGTGGATGGAGATTCAAATTGTGTTTTGTGGAGACATCCGGTTCTTTTACATGTGCCTTGTACGAAAGACGGAGCCATACCTTCATACTTTCCCCTAACTACTTTGCCAACGGAAAACCTACAGGTGACCTTTCGAAATGTTCTCAAAAAAGCTCGGCTGTAACCTTTTTTCGTAGGCCGAAGCCATCAAACTTTTCAAATGTCTTCAGTTATTTATGTCTGCGGCAGTTGATCAGGCCGGTATCGATTACCATGTTGTTTTAGCACAAAATGCGTTACAGCAATGCTTGGATATGCCAGAATTACAAGCCGAATTGATTTGCGCTTTGATAAAACAAACGAGTAAAAGTTCCCCCTTGCCCAAACTCGGAGTCCAGGTATCTACACAAAAGTTGCTTAAAAAAAGTGTAAGTGTGCTTTTTTTATTTAGTTTTTATGTGAGTTTAGTTTAGAGGATGGACTTTCAACTTCAACTCAGTTACACTAAAGCGAGTGTTTTTTAAAAGCTTCAGCTAATTTATTGTTAGATTGAATTTGAAAGTCCGGCTAGTTATATTGAGTTTTTTGAAACAAGCTAAAAGCTTTTAGCACTTACGTAATTAACATAGTGGAAGTTGTCTGATGCTTTACGAAAACATGAAATGATTCATCATTACTTTCATTTGCTACATGCATGAAACAGCAACTTTCTTTACTATTAGTAACCTCCTTACGACTCAACTTCGAAGAATGTTGGTGTTTCAATTTAGTTCTATTGTTTTTCTGGATGTTTTTAGAACATAGAATAGAATAGAAAATGCCTGTGTATGTATCGTTTCTTTCACGTACACAATAAATCTCATTGGGCATTTCAGACAAATCTACTCTTCCCCTATCAAATCGTCTGATTTGATTTTCATTTTTGGTTACGGTTCATTTATTTACTATCCAGTTATAGTGGGCTCAATCATATTTTTGAATGTTTCTTTTTCTGAATGTACACAACACATCATTGTCATCTTAAGGCCTGACCCCGAAGCTTCTGCTTGCCGACCTCCTTTTTAGACTTGCCCCTTAGTTTTCACAGGTGTGATTGTCATCTAGACATTTCGAAGTAGCCCCACTATTATACAGAAACACCAAAATTCTTTTCAGCAACTTCTCCTTTGCGCAACCCAAAGTTTATTCACCTGCGAAACGACACCCAGTATAAACAGTACTTCTGACCAACAAATTGCATCTTCCAATATACAGGCGGTCCAAGAAGAAAAATACAAAGAGCACAAAGAATGTTACAAGGAACATAAAGATCACAAAGGTCCACCCAGTTTTACCTTACTTCAAGGTTGGCAGTTGCTAGCTTTAGCTGTTAGTCTCTTCGTGCCGAAATCATCAAGACTGCTTTGGTTTTTGAAGTTACACCTTCAGAGGAACGCTGATAATAGAACGGAGTGTGGGAAGTATGCGGCCTATTGTGAACGGGCGTTGGAAAGAACCATACAAACAGGTCAGTGATTTTTTAAATTTATTTGTATATTTAAAATCGATACAGTAGTGTAATGTAATTACATAATAAGAGCGCCTGCAGCGTAACTTACAGATGAATCCATGGAAGTAATACACTGATTTGACTGCATGTAATTGAGAAATTTTAGATTTGGCCTCATTTTGGTGTCTTCTGTGATAAGATTAATCATCTGAAAATAAGTTTTATTACATGTGGCAATAATCATGCAAACACTTACGTTGAGTAGAATTCCTATAACATGGCGCCCGCATATTGTATTACCAAATTTCTTCAAGTAATCACTAAATTCATGGGGGCTTAGATTTTCGATCGCAGTCATTCCCTAAAGAAAAATGTTTAAAAAAAACGCAACAAAATTAATCGGCACAAGCAGACTGTTATAAAATGGAATTAAATGTCAAATACCCGTAAACAGGCAACAAATACATACAAGCACTATCTGTATGAGATTTCATGTTTGAGAGTCATGTATTTGATGTGGTAAGAACTGTATTATGTTTTACCATGTGGTCTAGATTTTCAATTGACTCGTAGATGTGTTCGAACGATGTATCGCAGTATGTGTAACGAAATTGGGGGCCCCAGTGACAAAAATCCGACGATATTATGAAAAGGTTCTGAGGATCTTTCAAATACTTCACGAGAAGTTTTCCATAACGTACTTGTTTTTCAGAGCTGAGGCTTCCAACAAGAATTGGAATTATCGTAAATTTGTGTTTATAACTGAAATAAAAAAATAACTATTTAACTCTTAGATAAATAGTACTTTACTTTTCCATGATTTTGGCTAAGAAAGGTAACTGCATTTCAATGCTATGTTCTTTCTCATCGACGCTCAAACTTAACCAGTCAAAATAACCGGTTGCGTATAATTCGTTATTAACTAAAAGTATTCCGAATTTAATAGAACATTAGGTACGAACATACGTAATATTAGTTACCTTGAGAATCTACGGCCAAGTCATATAAAGGCGTTTGAAATTTGGTAGCAGTTGTCAAGGCACATCCTGATAAACTAAAATGATGTGAGGGTCCTAGAATGAAGATTTTCTTTACCAGTTCAGGGGATATTTGTTTGTAGGCATGTGCTGCACAAGATCCACAATATCTGTAACCCGCGTGCCTAAAACATGTTTTAATGTTGGTGTGTTTAATAAAATAAATAATCAAATAACTAAGAAAGATCGACTCATTGTACAGTGCCATAATGTAGTTCTAACTTTAGAAAATTTATATTGCATTTCATACATTTAAATATCTCAACTTCGTTGACATTTCGAGGTTTCATTTTTTTAATTAATAATAATGTAAATATTTGTCGTGGCATCTAAGGCAAGAAGAGCAACTACAGTTGTATTTGACGTTCAAATTCACTTTGCTGTCTTTATGTTGTACCTTGGATCCATTTCAGAAATGACACTTTACTAAATCTAATTCAGTAACTTTGTACTGTTTATTCCATAGAAATTTTCTCAAGTAGTTGCGTTGGTTGTCTACCCGTAGCATATTAAAAAACTGATCTCATCAACATGAATGAGGCGGGAATGCCCATTCATATAGAATTTATGTTAATGTACTGCGTTCCAATTTTACAAATTTCACAGATGAAAAAGTTTATTTTGTGGAGGTTTATCCCAACGCAAGTTTTCATTGTTCAGTTTAGACTAATACGAAAAAACAACTAATTCTACTCACAGCAACTTCAGTGTTACAAAATTTATAAGATTTCCACGATAATGTACAGTATCTGACGAAAAGTTAATTAATTATCTGACAAAAAAATCTAGGAACGGATTGAAATAACTTACTTTTTTTCTTAAGCAGTCTACAGCATAGCTGAAGAGACTTGCTAAGAAAAACAATTAATTAAATCACATTTAAATAGTCTTTTAGTGTTTAATGTTAGGTAATTCAGAAGGGGATTTAATCTTTCATTATTTTATCAATTAAAAAATAGTTTGGAAAGAACATCAGAAAATTTAAACCTGCAAGTTCATCTAAACGCCATATTGAGATCGAGTCAGTTCAGCTTGTGAAATAGTGAATGAAATGCGGAATGTGAGTCAGAGTTTAAATTCAGGCCAATGTTCCTTGCATAAAACGTTATAAATATAATACATGCAAACACTGTAAGACTTGGCTGGAATACAACATATTTTAAATATCAATGTCACGGCATGTTGTTAAACTTACGGAGTAATTATAGCACGTGCAGGACCATGAATGAAATCGACTTTGTGCAGCCAAGCTGAAAGCTGATTTGACAATTCCGAGCCTGCAGGAAATATTTACCATAAATTTTCACACAAAGCTACATAAAACTTACTTGAATCGCTATACCAACTTCCAGCATGTTTAGCTTTTCTATACGACATTCTAAATCCTGAAATATTCGATTTTTACACGACTATAAATTTAAAAAATGAAACACTCATCATTAATCAGGGTTGCCACTTACTACCCACGTTTGACAACCCCCTGTCGATAAACCCACCAAATTCAAACAAACAACCCACGGCCGCCCACCACTTTTTATTTCTTCCATCAAAGCACACTCGATTCAAACTGTGCTTCAATCATGCAGAAATAATTAACTGCGGCGTACCAACCGTACAAAGCTCGACGAAAATGCACACACTATTCACTTTTTATTGGCAACCTTGACAATGATTAATTAAGCGAGATTTGCACAATACAAAAAATAGACTTACACCGTTGCGGCACTGCTGCAAGGTTAGTGGTTGGAGGCCCGCAGTAGCGCAATAAGGGGAATGGCGATCGAGAGGGATTGGAGTTGCGACTAGGGGAAGCGCTTAGACGCTTGCCAACTTCGGTTCACAACCCTAATATAGGTCACGTGGTTTTTTGCGTTGTTGCCATTTTCCCGATACGACGGTCGGATACCTAATGAAACGCAGAGGGCTCTGCTTTGGTCAAAATAAAATTTTAAATGCGATGAAACGACAGGGACGAAGCCGTCGATAAACTTGCTGTTACGTCATTCGGGTGACGTTTGGGATGCGATGTAAACACCGTTATGTCATTGTCATGGTAACGCGTTACGTGATTGGGTCTTATTCGGATTCGGTGCGGTAACTACAATTGTAATTTGTTTCGATTTCACTTTGAAGGACAGATAGCGTTAATGGTGTTTTTCTCGAGTTTTTTTATTTGTCTTCGGTATCTTCCGATGACGCAATGAATATACGAACGTGAAAAAAATATTACTTAATGGTGGCTTGATATTTACAACAAAATTTCAGGGGCAGTTTCAGTCATAAACCGTCGCTGATTAACTTTAATCTGTTATGATTAATTATGGAAGAAATTTATTGTTGCACAATATTATGTAAAATTATTAGTTAGTACTGAAAATCCGGTTCTTCAGAATTTCGTAATTCTACCCTCAAATGGGTGGTAACCATAGAGACCCGCGAAATGCAAATGATTTCAACCCGACTTAATTTTATTTTGTGTTTATCTAGGATTACTACGAGTTTGGGTGTGGGTTTGGGTTTAATGATTGCAAAACCTTGTAGCCCATTACTTTTAATTGAAAGATGCACAAAAATTTTAATAACGGACATGAAAAATTAAATTAATGTCCAACCGTCGTATACTTTGTTATATACTTGTGACAGAAAAAATTGATTAGAGTTATTTTTAGATACAATTTTCCTCGCGTACAATAAAACAAATCCACCGATTTGATCTTGCAAATTTTATTTTTTTATAACCTCCATGTGTTAAAATAAGAATATGTGTAGATTGATAAACTGCAGGTAAAGAAATACCTCTGCTATGCGTATGAGTTTTCCATAACAAAACTTTGCCATGACGCCATCAATTTTTTGGAGAGGTATACTGTAATACTAATAAAACGGTACTGTATTCCCAAAATTTCTGGAAAATGAGACAAGGCGTTTACAATTTACTTGGAAAAATGAACTACGTCGTTAATTTTTGAATAGTCACTCTGCATAAATATAATAATCAATTCTAAATAAATATATTAATAAATCACAACTCTCAATAATTTTCACATTTTAAATCGGATTTATCTGTCAAAATTTCGAGATAACGCCCGGGAAGTAAAAAGATCTTAGTATTAAAGTTAATTGTTGAAAAAAAACAGAAAAATTTTGTCAATAACAAGCTAACACATCGGCTTACTAATGTATTATTTTGGCAATAAGAAACATAAGTATTGCTACTAATAGTTTATTTGTTAACGCTGAATTTAATTCATATTGGGATAGGTATTTATAAATATTGTAGCTTCCGTTGTGTGAAATTGTTACAACAGTTTGAAAAAGTACTATAAACAGTTTATCGCTTTATTTAACGCTGTACAAAATTCCAAAAGAAATGCGTAGACTTTTTATTGAGGTAGTAGAATAGAACTTCAATCTGGTTTCGCTGTACTTATATACCGAGTACATACTTACATTTAAAAGCGTTGTTTCGGCAGATATATGTACTATACAAAAATTATATTTAGTGCTCTAATATCAGAAGGAAGAACTGATGCTAAAATATAACGTGGAAAGTGAGCAAAAGTAATTACGGTGCCTGTAGTATCGTGATCAGTAAACCCGTCCGGCAAGTGGGCGACGTAAGTTCGAATCCCACTCAGGGAGTGTTCATTTTTTTAATCGCTCGCTACACTTTAAAATAACTACAACTGCTACACTAAACAAAGCATTCTTATTACACTGAAAAATGGCATCTTGGAAAAGCTAAGTACAGCAGGTTATAACCTTTAAAGCCCTCAGACGTTAGAGCATCCGCCATATTCTTTACGCCCTTAATAAATCAATATAAACATATACTTACATTAATTATGGTTTGGTAGACAATTTTATTTATTATTTATATATTAATAACAACCATATCACCTTGCAGTAGACGTTATCAGCGTGTACCAGAAACCGAACCATAAATAAAGTACTGGTAAATATAGCCTGCAGCCTGTACATCCGATCTCTTCTGAAGTTGTACAATCAAACAACATATTCAGCGTTTTCGAAAAATTACAAATTGATTTTACGGTTTTTTTTTTATGAGAATCCCTATCATTTACATTAAAGATATAATGTTAAAGTAAATGTAAAGAAGCTTGCTACGCGTATATTTTAAATGAGTTTGTCCTTTACAAAATTTTGTGATGACGTCATTAAAATTTTTGTAAGGACACCTATAGCAATTTGGATAGGTGTAGTGTAATACTAATAATAACAGTATTGTATTCCCAAATTTTCGAGGAAATGGAGTGAGCCGCTCCTGATCTAATCAATAAAAAAAATTGACTCATTCATTTTTTTGTTGAGTCACCTTGTATAAGCATTTCTGAAAAATATGAATGTAATGACAAATCACAAATTAATATAGACTCAACACATTTTGCACATTTTCGATAGAATTTATTCGGCAAAATTTTGAGATGACGTCATCAATTTTTTGGAAGGGATAAGCAGATATATTTTGATTAACAATTTAAATACGACGCTCTATAATAACTTTAAAACGTCTGCAAGATTTCAAAGCATTCGGTTTTGCAGTTCCTGATTAAATCAATTAAATAAATTCACGCATTCATTAAATTTTTTGGGTCACGTGTATAAGCAAATCCAAAAAATATGAATGGAAATGATAAATCACAAGTATAGACTCAAAAAATTTGGGACACTAGATTGGATTTATTCGGGAAAATTTTAAGATGACGTCAATTTTTGAAGGGGATAAACAGGCATATTTTGATTACAAATTCACCATGCCTACGTTCACTTTAAAACGTGTGCAAGATTTCGAAGAATTCGGTTTTGCAGTTTCTGATGTGATCAATAGTTTTTAGAATTACTTATACAGGTTGACTCAAAAAAATTATCGAATGAGGCAATTTATTGTATTGATTTAAGTTAAGAACGACGCACTCCATTTTCCCGACAGTGTGGCATTGTGGTACTGGTACTGTTGTTATTAATATGGTCCTTGCAAAAGTGTTGATGACGTCATCGCAAAATTTTGTATTGAAAAAAAACTCACTTGAAACAAATGCGTAGCACGCTTCTTTACCTTTACTTTAACATTACATACATATCTTTAGTTTAACTTAAAAGAATTATCATAACAAAATAAAATTCGCAAAATCAAATGATTTTCGAAAAAACTGAAGTTATACTCAAGGGAGAGAGAAGTTCTATCGAAATAACTTTCCGCCACTTTTTTTATTCGATCTTTGTACAAAATAGCCGACATTTTCAGATTATCTACACTCGTTTGTACTGTAGTGACGTACGTCCATCACCTCACTTCTTTCCTAAAACTAAAAAGAATGTTCATTTATTTAAGTATATTTTAAATAGACTTAAATAAAAGTAGATAAGATTTTATACGTTACACATGGCTGGTACATTGTTACTAAAATCGTATGACTAGCACCTCTTTGTGAGAACGCTTTATATGAATTGTAACAAAACATGAACAACCATGACATGATTTGTCAGCGGGCTTCCCAAAGACAGTTCAAATTTGTAATTAGACTCTTTTAAGCGTTGTTTTGGTTGTTATATGATACATTGTCAAGCATATGCCTCGTTCACGAGCAGGTATTATTCAATATTTCCGTTTATAAGAATTTATTACATATTTTAAAATCAATTCCGTTCGATTTCACGTGGAGCAAATTATGGTTATTTTACATTCTGCAATTCAAATATTCTCAATTTAATTCGGTTACAAACTTATTGGAAAACTGTAGAATAAATGGAGGCTGTATGTTTTTTAGGTGGCAGAGAACTAAAGCCGTCTCGGATGGAAGTCCTAAGTATCCTGCTCAAGAACCCCCAACACCATTCGTTGCCACATTCGATGCCCGTCCATCTGCTCAATGGCACTTATCACATCACCAGCTTCGACGGTTCGACAACAATCAAAGAATTCCAAGATAGTTTGGCTCACGAAATCTGTTGTCGTACCACCAACGGGTTCGCTATTTTCAGCGACGATCCCATCGAAAAAGATCTAGAACACACCTTAGACGCCAACGCTAAACTATGTGATCTAATATCAAAATGGGAAATAGCCCTTCGTGAAAAAGGCTTAGGCAAATTCGAGAATAGCAGGGTGATTAGGTTAACTTACAAAAACAGGTTGTGGTGGAAAAATAGTGCTAGGTTAGAAACGGACAAAGAGAGGTTGCTCTTGTGTTACCAGGTCAACAAGCAGATAGTTTCCGGGCGGTTCCCCTTAAGTAGAGAATTAGCACTGGAACTGGCAGCACTGATGGCACAGTTGGATATGGGCGACTGCAGTTTCGGCTCGCACAAGAACACTAGTGTAAATAATACTTTAAGCAATCAAGGTACTTCCAACAAACACCAAAGCCCAAAATCCACGACGAATGGGACGCTCAGTCCGCCGACTGCCATTCAAAATTCTAACACTTTAAGCGCCTTGAACAATGTCCACGGGATACTCACGGCTCACTCTAATCAAGCTCTCAACGCCATAGACAAGTTCTATCCGTACAGGTACAGGGATCAGTTGACGCAAGATGGTCTGACGGAGTTGCAAGGGAAACTTCTGGAGAAGTGGAGAGGACTTAAGGGAAGAACTCAGCTAGATTGCGTACGGATTTACCTTACGTGTACTCGGAAATGGCCCTTCTTTGGAGCAACCCTTTTCCAGGTATCTATTTTGTCTTGAAATTTAGACCCCACTTGATTTATCTTGTCCTATTATAAGAATTTATCTAGATTTTCCGAAAATTTTTGCAATTGTATGACACATTCAGTTGATTAACTTTAAAAGAATTCCGCCAATGAACAAATTATCGCGAGTTCAAATTACGCCGTACATTTAATATACCAGTAGTTCTGTAAACTGCTACCTGAAAGTTGTAACTGCTAGGAAACTGGATATAAATACTTATAACTGGCCTGGATATATATTAAATTAGGCTTGTGAAATAGTCATATAAGTGCAGTGGGTTACATTTTACGAATCCAGGTTTCAATGTAATGAATTTTTTTTTTTAATAGCACCGAATCGTAGAAATTCGAGTGTCGCTTGCAATTGTAACGAGTAAGCTGTTTTAAACGGAGCTGAGAAAACACTGAATGACATTCATCGTAGTTACGGTGAACGTCAACTATTTATGACCTGTTTGCAGGTCAGGAGGGCAAAAAGGAAAATGCAGGCTAAATTACTTTATAATAGATAAATTATAATTATATTTCATGAGGTGCCATTAAAATTGTGATTATTTACTAAGTATAACAATATTATTTGCTGAAAGGCCCACTTACACAGTACAAATAACACACTTATCTACAAATCAACAACAGATTTGACAAAAATTGCACTTTTTTAAAACCACGACAAAATACAAAAGTTCCAAGACAATAAAACACTTCTTTGTTCTTCCGTACTCGCAATACCCTTGATGACACCCGAAGTTTTCTGTAAAGCTTCACATTATTCTTTTCTATTATGCCGTAAATATCGTTGTTTTAAATTTTTGTTGTAATATATGGTCTGCATGAATTATCCAGTCATTCTCATTCAGCGTTGTGCAGAGCATGAGCTCGTTCATCGCCAATTGGGGAACTATTTTTGTTAATACCTACTACGTTAAGTACAAGAATGTTTGTTCATTCAATTCTGACCAAGTTAGATCTCATGAAAACGATAGAAAGATCACAACTGTATTAGCTTCTAGGTACCCTCTACAATATACAGGCTGACTGCGAAATACATGCAAAAAAAAAATGGGGAATAGCTCACAATATGATTATGTCACTGGCAAAAATTCACGGTCCTAAGTAGTAGCAGTGTCTAGAAAAAATTATTTGAAATTAAATGTAAATTGTTATACGCGCCGCTGGTAATGTTTCGTGACCTACATAATTACTGCAATGAATGGGTAGGGGACTCGGAGTAAGAACCAAAAAAGTAACTTTATCAGGCACTTTTTTAATCGCAACGTGAAAAGCACGAAAAGGGCCAGTCATTATCGAGCGGTCGTTGAAATCGGTGTATGGTCCAGTTTTCCAATGCAGAGTGTGTCGATATGGTGGTACAGCATCTCCGAGATCATGGTACCTTCAACCTCAAACTCACGATCGTGGTCGTGATAGGGCAGAAAGGAGAATTTGGATTTTCGCAGCTTGTAGTGCATCCTACATTAAAAGAACACGGTCACATCCATACCATGTTGACAAAATGCACGGTTTGGAGCCCGCTGATTGTCCACGTTGTGTAACTCACTTTTTGTCCGATGGAACTCCACATAGTCGTCAACAAGTACGATTTCAAGAGACGGTTTTCGAGAAACGTGTATTGGTTGGATGAAACAATTCGTTTGTGGAAATCAATAGTGTCCAGAAATTATCGAAGAGCTTCAACAAGTGAAAGTGGCAGCCGCTACTCCGGTGTTTTTTTACCTATCAACAAACCTCTTGCGACGCTCTGACGCCTGTATTGCTAGTCAAGGACAACATTTCAACATTTCTTGTAAAAAGGTAGTAGCATTCTAAGTTGCTCTTATTTCTGTTCCAATAAACAATGTAAAATCGTTGTGCCAAGGATCAAACATCCGTCAGAATCAAAATTACCAAAAAACTTTCACACTGACCTTTAACGATGAATGAGTAAATGAATGAACGAATGATAAGCAGCAAAAAGTCGGTTTTACTTTTAATTGAAACTGAAAGTGTTTAGGTCGTTTTTATTCGAACGTTTTTCCAACTCTGTTTACAAGGTGGCTCAGTGCCTTCGTATCGAGGATGGTTCATGGGGGTTTTGCCCCATTCGATTTTTAATTTGTTTTTTCGATATTTCGGCTCTACTAGGGTGGGGGATGCCGTGGTTAAAATATTTGCATATATTTCGCAGTCACCCTGTATGATACAAAGATGTGGTTGTGGATAAAAGTGTTACTTTGACTCTGACAGTCATAATTAAAAACAATACCAGATAACCATAAAGTCATAAAGTACTGATGATTTCCTGGATTGAAAGTAAAACTGTTTGTTTTTTGAGATACTAAGCTAAGCCGGTTATAACCCTAACAAATCCTAGTATAAATATGATGTTTCAATCCATCCTGTTACACATTTGTTTAGGCTCGTTTGCGCCAACACGACTCCCCCATGATCTGGCTGGCAGTAAACGAAGATTCTATCACAATCCTCGATCTAGCAACGATGCAGCAACGAGTCCGCTACCCATACACCAACGTGCTCACCTTCGGCGGTTGCCAAGAAGACTTTATGTTGGTGGTGACACAAAACGACCAACAACCCTCTCAAAAACTGATTTTCTCATTAAGTAAACCAAAAATACTCGAGCTTACGCTACTCATAGCCGATTATATGAATCTCTTAATCAATAACCCTGGTACCCCCTTATTAGGTACGTTAAGTAGAGGAACCATGGTTTCCGTTAATCAGTCTGTGGTAAATCAGTCTATAATTAGTCAAGCTATCGCTAATCAAACGCAGCCGGATATACTCAAGTCGACTCCCGACCACGGAGTTCAAAGATCCGATTCCAAGAGGAGAACGCACGTGGATTCAGGGCTGGCGTGATGCTGACGTCACAAAAGTTGCGATAGCTGACGATTTCATAAGGTGGTTTCGTTTGTTTGATTGTGATTTTAGCTTTTCCTGTGCCAGATCGAAATGGGATCACGGATTTTTGTATATATGGAGGATAATGTGTGTGGATGTATATAGCAAACTCGTTTATTTATTTATTTCGACCGTTAGCATTTCGATCGTGTAAAAATTGCATTTTTTTTTTTTCGTAAAGTTTATTTGCAGTTTTGTGTTGACTCCGCTCGAATAAGGCCTAATCTTTGTTTAACACTTTTGTATAACACCGATGTAAGCCTAATAAGTGTCATATAATGTAATATATCAAAATTTTTAATACTGCTTCAAATGGAAGAGTGCGCAAATGTACGTCAATATGCTTTAAGTTGGTGACGTTTATATGAAGTCTTTCGTAGGATTTCGTTGATTTTGTTGTGGTTTCCTAGTCTATATAAAATGTATGCATGTTCGACAATAGTTACCATTATGAGATTTTTTAAAATGATAACAAAGAGCACCAACATTTTTTAATACGCGAAAAATTTTGGTGTTTATTTTCCTGTAATAATCAGTCTAATAAGTGATAATTTTCGCATATACATTTGATATTAATGATCCCTAGGTATTATTAATTTATTATTTATACATAAATAAAAGATTTTAAATAAATAGATGGTCTTATTCATCCTTCCAACAACATTGTAGACAATCAGTGTATTTATTTTGTTTGTCAAAATGATTATTTACAATCACCAAACCGAAATATAGGCCAAATTCTGGTTTATATAAAAAATAAGAGGTTAATAGTTACACAACAATATAAATATATCTAGGAATTTGCAGCAACAATGTGATTGATTTAATAACTAATAACAGTATAATGCACAACTTAACGGAAAAACCTGTAATTAAAATGCGTTTTTAAAATGTAAATACGGCAACTATTTTTCCTCTTTTTTTTTTTAATTAGATTTAAATTATTGGAAAAATTGTACATTTCTCTTAACTAAATACACATAAAAATCAGTCTATTTTAATAAGGCAACTGCGTAACAACAATTCATAAATATTAAGAAGCCTAATATTATAATACAAATTACTTTTACATTTTCTCAAGTACAAAATCTTTGGACGTATGTCATCATAAAACAAATGATTTTCCATCACAATCATAAAAGAATGGCAGTTAAACAATATTAGTCTGTGTATGAGTAAAACTTACAACTTCTCTCAACACTGTGATACTAATTAAAAGTAACCCTACTTAAAAGAAAGTCGTAAAAAAACATAACTTCCGTTAAAACAATACAAAACATTACCTAGTGTACAATCTTTGTTTTCTTACTTTTTTATGTAAATTCAGTTTCTTTACGATATTAACAATTCATATAAAATTAAGTCTTTCTATTGTAATTATAATCCTAATGGAAGTCTAAAATCAGATTTTACCTCTCCTCTGATGTTTGAGAAGATCTGGTAAAGTGAACGTATGCTATACCTCTTGCCCGAGATCTTGAACGCCACTTTCGGCAATCGGTACAAACTTCTCATCAATTTGAACTAAAAGTATTGTTCGATCTACGTGCGATCTTTTCCCAGGGTCCTTATGACAAGGCGTCCACCTATGTACCACCTATCAACACAATGAATTGCACATAACAACCACAAAAAATAATATATAAAAGAACTTTAAAAATACTGAATCAAAGAAAAAAAGCCGTAAAACTACACTTACCGGTCCCTCCATTCCCGTTTCAGGTACCCAATCCTTCCAAAACGACCTCCCCCCTCTCACCCTCATGTACTCAGTAGGCCACGTCACATCAATCCTTCTCCCCAAATTAATAGCGTCATATACCAGATTAGGATCTACAATCTAAACAAACACGGAGCTTAAGACAATTACGACGTCAATTAACACTCACTCTAACTCTCTGTACTGAGTACTCCTTCTCAGCAGTCTCGTCAAAGTCGCCAGTTCGTTCATCGTTTCGAGGCTGAGCGTCAGGAGCTTGCGACACAGCCCTTTCGTCTTTTTCTTTGAAGAGTCCAGCCAAGCTCGCCAATGTAGCGCTCGTGGGCTTACCCACGGAAACTAGACTGCCTCTATTACCACCCAACGATGTTCTACTGAGGCTGGAACCTCGTCCCATGCTGCCACTCAAGTGAGAACCATCAGTCGACTGACTTCCAGCAGTCTGGTGATTGAGAGGTGTAACCGTTGTCATTGCGTACACACCCTCATGACCCATCCCGATTTCATCTCGAGCTGAAGCGCCACTTGAACAACCCTCGCCGCATCTTTTACGGATACTAAAAACGGCAAAAATGATTAAAATCCAAAAATAAACTAGTTTACCAGTTTTGGCTATACACAAATATAATTGATCTATATCTTACCGTCTAAACACATTGAAGACATAATTTTTGATTTTCGTCAAACTAATTGATCCTCCGACTAGACTGCAATATTGTTCATTTGTTTCCGCATAACTTGTAGTTAACGGTGATACATAGATGGGGTAACCAATGGGTTGATCACATGATGAATTGATAATATTCCTCAAAGCCTGCTTTGCGTTCTGTATACTTCCTCTTTCAGGATTTCTATTACGTAAGTAAACGAGTTCTTGCTGCTGGCCAGCCCACAGACCTCTTACACATTCCTTGTTTATTTTTATCACCCGAAAACTCAAGTATCGTTTATTCAACATTATAATTTTATACTCGTCCGTACCGTCGTCCAAAACATGCCTGAAATTTTAAAACAAATTTTTACAAATTACAGCAAGGAAAAAATCTCAATAAATATTTTGCTGCAGTTTATGAAAAAGAAGCATTTCTCAAATTTTAAGTGTAAAAAATATTTTTAAGGTTCAAAAAGACAAGTCTCTAGAACTGAGATATCAAAGGATTAAGGCGTCTAATTCGATAATAACTTCCATTCGTTAATCACATTCAACATGTCGTTGCCAGATTTTACTAGCATTCAGTTTTGTAATGTATGTTGAACCATGATTCTCTTGAAGAGCCATTAGTACACTGTTGGAAGTAATAATTCAAATGAACTCAATAAAAGTTCATAAGGCAAAGTGTATTTTTTTGATTGTACATATATGGCTTGCAGTTTAGTATTATTATTATTATTATTTCCAACGACACATCGTAATACATGAAACTCTTTTACGAATTAGAACAGAACATTTCACCAACAGTAAAATTTGTCAAATGTTAATAACAATAATAATAATGTTAATTTATTTTCCATCAGACAATAAATGTCTAACAAGGAAACACATAAGTACTTTAGAGTATTTGTGCTTTGTATGTGATGTTCTCTGTCATAGCAAAATATTGCTACCCTTATGATGTTTCAAATTTTTAACATAGTCTCCAGTCTCACGGAAACTAACAATAAATGTTGAATAAACTTCACATTTTATTTCATTCATTATACAACACAGTTGAAATAAAAGCTCCAATTGTTTGTTTTCCTTTTGTTCCGCTGGTTCGACAGCATTTAGAAATATGAGTTAAAGTGTAGGATATTATGCAAGACGCCAGCGAGCTCTCAGGTAACGCTTACTGGTCTTCCGTGGACCAAAACTTAAACCAAGCAATGGCGGTGATTTTCAAAGAGTAATTGAAGCTATTTGTGACGCGTAGCATAGATATGTAGCGTCATACGACAAAAAGAAGTTTTTTTCCCATGCATTATAACGTCGACAGATCAAATTTCAAAGGAATGACAAATGATCACTGAACATAAAATAGTCAGTAAAATTTAACCTCGTTCAATTTTGTTCATTTTGATTTCAAAATAATTTTTAAGTTGTCATTGAAATTACAAAATAAACCTCTGTTGATACCATTGATATAATAATACTACATAGTGGACGGAGTTTCGTTACACATCGGCTGGCTTTCACGTGGTGAGAACATACGAAAGAGATAGGTAAATTTGTATTTATAACAATAGTAAAGGATCGGTGATTTTAGTCACGTGAATTTTGGCAGAAAACGCTGGTTTTTAAATGTAAAATAAGGAAAATCGAATGGAAATAATAAAAAAAAAACAATTTGAAGTTCTATTAACTTTAATGATAATAAGAAGCATACATTGTAATTATAACCAGTAAAAATAATTTTTGGATAGTGATCAAGGAAGTTTCTGAAAAACTGATAAAAATAAACAAAATTTTGTAACGATATAATAAACTAAGCTAATAATCCACAGTTACCACTTATTAAAAGTTACAAAAATAACAAAAAAGAAAAACAATCTTTTGTTTAATGACTTATTTTTATGATTTAGCGGAATATTAAATATACTCGTATTTTAAAAATTAAATAGACGATTTGACCAAGATGATTATTTAACGGATCTTGTTCTAATACATGTGTTGCAAGATTTTTAAAAATATTGCTAAAATTTATTTGGCGTGTACCGCTAACAATGAATTTCGTAATACCACCATTAGAATAATTATTTTCGGTTCTAAAAATACTTTTTGCAATTTTGCATATATAAGCAACGTCAGAAAAGGGTTTACCTAATACGCCTATTTTTGCGATTAATAAGGCTGATAATGAATTTTCCATATAACAATCGAAGAACTTTGATAGTTTTTTGGCAACAAACCCGACAATATTTCCAACTATATCACAAATATAAGCTGACAAATTTTCAGGTAAATGCCAGTCGTTATCTTAGTCATCGAAGTCTTTGAATGTTTCTGTAAAAATTAAATAAATCTAATTGGGGAGATCTCTGGACGGTTTTACACAACTCGTAATTTTTAGAATACTCCTCTCGTCTATTGCTAAGCAATTAGCAGCTTCAGAACTGGACAAGTCGGTATGAATTAAAATCTTTTTATTGGCCGATTGAATTTAATATTATTATTAAAACCGCCTCTTGACCGTATATTATAAAAAAACCATTTCTAAATGATCCTGACTTATTTTATAAGTTAATAAGTACTTTAGAGTGTTTGTGCTTTGTATGTATTCCCTACATACTAGTCACGTTTACTAATAATCCTAAAAATCCGGTTCTTCTCTGTGATAGCAAAATATTGCCACCCTTATGATGTTTCAAATGTTTAACATTTTTTTTTTTATAAAACTAAAATTGTATTTTGATATAGACTTTTTATACGGATCTTTAATTAGAGTATTTCTAGTATTCATAACATCAAAAACATTATTTATTATACGACAAAAATTTGCTGTGTGCGTAGCTCCTTTAAACTGTGCTAATTACAAATCCAAACAACAATAATCCAGAAAATCCCCCCAAAGTATTTCTAATTAATTTTATCATATGACAGACATCAAGCATGATAAAAATCGGATCCCCAGTTGTAGGATGCGAAAAATGTATTGCTAGATTATCAGCACAAGAAAAATTAGCTCCTAAAACTCTTGTCATGGAAAGATGTTACTCTCACTCCAATATTATTCAGCATTATTAGACATCCTTTAACCACATTTGCTTTTTCTTCTGCATTTAAATCATTTGTTAAGAAATATCCAACTGGAATTTTCCACCCTCAGACAAATTGGGGACGTCGCTTCGCTCCGTCTCCAAACTTTTGTCTTCGACCAGTAAACACCCCTTACCGTTCTTAATACTTAATATACTATTATACGCCGGCGGAGTATAAGCAGTACTTAAACCCCGGTAAGACCGTCATATAAGTGTCAGTTATATGACGTTTGAAAATAATAGATATTTATTTTACTAGGAGTTTAAGTGATACTTTATGTGACGGAGTATGGACGATTAAACGCCGAGCAATAGCGAGGCGAATTAAGTCCATACGAGTCACATAAAGTCACTTAAACTCCGAATGAAATACAATATTTTATTTTCAAACGATTAATCTTCTTTTGAAATGATTATTTCCTATCTTCTTGCTTCATTAACGAATTGCCTTGATTTCACTTACCATGGTTACTATGGTTGGCAACCACTGTGATTTTCACTTATTTATATTCCGGCGGAGTATAAATGTTTTATTTATACGCCGGCGGAGTATAAGTACTACTTATACGCCGTTCAAACACGGTGTCATAGAAATGACACTTAAACCCCGGTAAAAGCGTCATATAAGTATCAGTTATATGACGTTTGAAAATAAAAGCTTTTACATACTTGAAGTATATAAATTTGACATTATAAAAACCAGCTGGCCACTACGAGGGAAATTAGAAAAGTTGAACTGTGTCAAATTCATTTCTTCATTATGCTAGCAATTCAAATATGTCCCCTAATTTATTGAAAAAAAAAAATTGTATATAATGGGCATGCACCAACACCAAACCTGTAAAACGGAATAACAATTGTCAGAAATTCGCTTGAAATTTGTCAGATGGTGAGTGACGTCTTCAAGGGATTTTATTCTGTTTTTAAATCTATAAGTCTTATTCCTTAAAAATTTTGTGGTTCGTTTTTGTCTGTCTATTGTTAATTTAGCAATATTCCACAATTTTCGAACCTTCTGTGGCACTTCCAAGTCATGTTAAATGTCCTTAAATGCGGAGAATAATCAAAAATTGAGGCAGCACAGTCTTTAACAAATGATAACTTTCCAAAATTGTATTCAAAATCTGATTTTTTAGAATGGTTGCTTGCCATGAGCACAAATTTATCTCTTTTCCAGCAAGAATCCATTGGTTCCTTAAATTTTCATCTTTTGAAAAACTGAAAAAATATGTTTCATTTAAAAGTCTGGTTGACTTGGATCACTTCTATATACACTCACGAATGAAATGAAATCCCACTTCCTTTTTGGTACCTTTGGGTACAATTGTACGCACAACATGAATGAATCATGTTTTTAATTTTACATTTTAATTAGTCCATGAATTTATTACCATAGATTTACTTACTTAAACAACCCTAAATTTTTAATAAACACGGCAAAATCACTTAAAGAACACTAAATTTTTAATAAACACGGTAAAGTCACTTAAACAACACTAAATTTTTAATAAACAGGGTGTAAATTCACTATAAAAACAATGCCGCAGATAATGTTTTGTCACATAACAGCTGATCGACTCGCTTTAGGTCTCGTCACCGTGATATCCTTTTTTAAGTTCCGTCCAGTACGTAGTATTATTACGCCAATGATTGATATAATATTATTGATTCACCGAGGAAACGCAACCTCTAAGAAAGTCCGTTTCTCTACAATAATTCGACAACTCGTATGTCCATAATGATTTCACAAGAATTTTCCTCAATGGGTTAAACAAAATCAAAATATCAACCAGGGAGGGCAGAATATACTGGAGAGAGAGAGTACGAGGCTAACTATTATTGCTTTAAGCCAAAGCAACAAAGTGTTGTAAAAAATATCTATCTAAACAAGTTTTTTGGGAAACTAGTATACTGTCTTTGCCATTTCTCTTGAAACGCCATTTGTTGATTTTGTTTAAAATTTAGCAGTTGTTTCGGTGATTGTGAACGGCATTTAGTTAGAAAATAGTCTGAATATGTACGTGTTTTAATAGAAATGGTAAACACTATAGATAGTTTTTTTTTTCTGAACGAGCCTATGAAATAAAAAATTGGTCTAAAGAGTTTAGACAGTACTTCCCTCGCTGTCGGAAACTTGACGACTGCATGCCTATTGTGTTTTTTTTCTCATTACATTTTTGTAGTGGGAATTTAAAAAAAAATTGCGATGACGTCATCAACATTTTTGCAAGGGCACGTATATCAGTTGGGATAGATGTAGTGTAATACTAAGAATAAAATTATTATATTCTCAAATTTTCGGGAAAATGAATTGGGTCGTTTTGAATATTGATTTGTAATAATAATCAATAAAATAACGAAACAATTTACTCACGTATACGTATCAGAGGCAACTGAAAATCATGTATGTATAAACATTCTTAATTTAAGATGACAGGCGTAACAGCATACGTGAGAGTCAAACAGAGAAACTGTAAACAAAACGACCATCGGTTTTATTGCTTCGACTTCCGTTTATTATATAAAACATTGGGTTTTATTTTAATTCTTGACGGTGAAATTCACAATTGGTTGATTATAAACATGTCTATTTCACATTCGCGGAACCAAGTGAGCGCATAAAACAAATGCAGGTCTGTAATGTTAAAGTCGATGTAAATAAGCGTGCTACCCTTATGTTTCAACCGAGTTTTTCCTTTAACAAATATTGTGTCTACCAAATTGGGTTGGTTGGTGTGTAATACTAATAATAAGTGTTGCCTTTAATTTAATCAATAAAATAAATTGACTTCATTAATTTTTTTGAACCACCTCTTAAGAAAATCTAAAAAATATGAATGGAATGATAAATCACAAGTACAAACTCATCATATTTTTTGCATTTTAGATAGGATTTATTCAGCAAAATTTAAGGGTGACGTCATCAATTTTTTTAGGAGGTATGAACAAATACATTTTGAACAAAAGTTTACCATGCTTATAATAACTTTAAAATATTCCCAAGATTTCAAAGCATTCGGTTTTGTAATTCCTGATTAAATCGATAAAATAAATTCACGCCTTCATAAATTTTTTTGAGTCACCCTGTATATGCAAATCGAAAAAATTTGAATGGAATGATAAATCACAAGAAGAGACTCACCATATTTTGTACATTTTAGATTGGATTTATTCAGCAAAATTTTGTGGTGACGTCATAAATTTTTTAGGGGGGACGACCAAATACGTTTTGATCAAAAATTTACCATGCTTATGATAATTTTAAAATATCTTCAAGATTTCGAAGCATTCGGTTTTGTAGTTCCTGAGTAAATCAGTAAAATAAATTTACGCTTTCACATATTTTCTTGAATCACCCTGTATATGCAAATCCAAAAAATATGAATGGAGTGATAGATCACAAGTACAGACTGATCATATTTTGTACATTGTAGATATGATTTATTCGGCAAATTTTCGAGCTGACGTCATCAAGTTTTTGGAGGGGATAAGCAAATATATTTTGACTAAACATATATTATGCTCTTTATAACCTTAAAACATGTGCAAGATGTCAGAGCATTCCGTTTTGTAGTTCCTGATTAAATCAATAAAATATATTTACGCATTCATTAATTTTTTTGAGTCACCCTGTATATGCAAATCCAAAAAATATGAATGGAGTGATAGATCACAAGTACAGACTCATCATATTTTGTACATTTTAGATATGATTTATTCCACAAACTTTTGAGCTGACGTCATCAAGTTTTTGGAGGGGATAAGCAAATATTTTTTGACTAAAGATTTATGATGCTCTTTATAGCCTTAAAACATCTGCAACATTTCAAAGCATTCTGGTTAGCAGATTAAAAATTAAATTTCAAAATGTTGTTTTATAATTTTGATTTTTTTTCCAAAAATCTGGACGTTTCGGGTGAAAAGTCGATTCAGAGTTGTAAACTACATGTGTAGGACTATGTTATTTTATACAATTGAAAACCCATTTACTATGTACAATTTTGAAGTGACGTCATCGCATTAGTGGTGGGGATGATTAGACAAATTTTGGTTAGCGTTTTACCATCTACATGATATTCTTAATATAAGTACAAAATTTCACAACAATCGGTCGAGTACTTTCGGAGATTATCTGTCTAATAAAAATCCGGGACGGCAGACGGACGGACAGACGGACGGACAGACGGACGGACAGACGGACAGACGGACAGACGGACAGACAGACGGAAATGGGAGACCTATTTCTTCGTCTTCTAGGGGTCATGAAAGATCGAGAAAACGTAAAAGTAGAGAGTCGGCCGACGGACTCGATTACAATACTTCCTTTGCTTACGCTCGGGAAGTAAAAATTAAAATAAAACAAAGTAGAAAAAAGATTTACATTAGAAATATTATGTACACAGCTTCCTACCTCTATGCTGATGTGACAACTTATTTAAAATATTTTAGTTACAAACTTATCAGATTTTACAAATACAATAAACGGAAGAAAATACATTTTTTCTCAAAAGTATGTCCTTAAATCTAGAAAATTTGCAATTTGTAAATCTCCAAGAAATAATGTGGCATCTTCAAGTAAATCACGTAAACAGCAATAAAAGGAAAAATATCTTCTTATTTAAAAAGCCACGTGATACTGTTTCAAAAGAGATTTTTCTTTTATAAAACGTTCTTATAGAAATATATTTTTTTCCCTTTGAAATGTATAAGTTCTTTATACTCATTTCTAACAGAGTCCGCAGAGTTGTCATACTGCTAGTTAAATGTAAAATAATTTTAAAACATCATGAATGGGTATGATTGTGATTCATTTTTTCCCCATAAAATTTAAATGTTTTTGCATTTATACCCAATGAAATACCTCGCCGTCCTTAAATTTACAGTCTACGAAACTATCATTTAATTTTCCTTTTGTTCCAAACAAGAAAGAGATACAGGTTCTACACAACACTGATCACAAATACCAAACAGCGTGAACAAACAAATGAAAAATTTGTAAAAACACGAGCAGGGTGACGAGACGCTACTGGGTGTGCTTGCTCTCATTGGTAAAAATAATTTTCAGCGCAGATGGTTTGAAACGTACAATAAAATATACTTGGGTCGGTAATCGTAGTCCCAAATTTTACATTCCGTAGATACCCACATTCCCTCCAAAATATTCTCCCTTTCTCGAATCAATTGCTCAGCTAACCCCCAAAACTCTTCCTTGGAAGTAACAAACCGAATTCAAAACAAATTACTGTTACCATTACATATTACCAAAACGGGTCCAAAGAAAACTCGAACTATAATCGGAAAATGCGTGCGAAATTTCATCGCTTACCTCAATATTAAAGAACAAAAACCACATATACAAGAATCCGAATGAATTCAGGTTGAGATTTCAGAATAATAATAATAATTTATATCTTTTCATGCGCAGTTTCTATTTCTAACGACTGACCTACATTTACTATACCTCAAAGCTAACAAACTCGGCGTTCCACTAAGTACAGCATTCCTCCACGCAGGATCCCCTTCATGCGATATAACTAACTCTTCCTCGTGCTTGCATATAGCTTCATACAACGCTGGCAATTCTTCATACTCATCCGGCGACATGAAATGATCCTGATGCAACTTCAGGGACATCCGAATACCCGGCGCCACTACAGTCTTCAAAAGATCCATATCGGTAAAAACCCACTCATCTCTCGCACACGTGATACGAAAATCACCTTTAAACAACGCATGTAAACCGAAAAGAAAAAACTCCACGCTCGAAACCGTGTTGTGTGAAACTGCTCCCAAGGCCCTACGACCCAACAAACTCAACGCGAAACACAAAAGAACTAAAGTCGAATTATTGCCGGAATCGACGTTTTTCTCTGCTTTTTCTACGCAGAAGGTGATCCATTCTCCGTGGATTTGGCAAAACATGTGGCGTGTCATGCCACTGCTGGACATGTCGAAGTCCTCGTCGATGTTATAGTTGAAAACGGGGTCCAAGTCGACGAAGTTCTTGTGTTCCATGGGCTGAAGGGCTCGGAGGATTGTTTGAGAAGACAGCCACTCTTCTAATTTGGGAGAGCGGACGGTGTAGAAAATGATGCTCTGTGAACAAAAGGTACATAGTTATTAGACAAGGTTGGTTGAAAGTTCCGGAACGATCTACAATTTACAAAGTCAACAATGTAAAGACTGATATTGGTTTGCTCGGAAATGGCCACAACTTAATGTTTTTAAATGGAACAAAACATATCAAGCAAAATTCTAAATTGGTGCTTTAAGTTGAAGATTCTAAACATCATTTTAACAATAAATTCAAACATTCAACTTACTTTAACATAATATGAGATCAGGACTTTCCGAAATTCAAACACCTGAAGCATGGAAACGGCACTGTTGTCTGATATGCTGTAGCCTTCCAGAATGTACTTCGATGCGGTGACCTCCCAGGCAAGCCAGCGCTGACTGAATGCGGAACTGATGCTCAATACCCCGATGGAATGGTCTGCTTCGTAACAACAACATACTAAAAGTTACGAAAATTAAATAAAGATTCAGTTAAGGGGGAAAGCTAGGCAATACCGACAGCCAAGATCTACCTCTAAGAAAAAAAAAACAAAAAAAGATCTGATGTAGGTATCACGTGGCCAAGTTGATTCGAAATCACGGTTTAGGGGTTTATGTGATATGAATAAAAATAAATATATTTCCAAGTTAAAAATCTGAGGCTCTTGTAGAAACACATTCAGTAGTGGTTCCGATTTTAGTTAAGTAATCATCGAAATGTTTAAACTTTAAACTGCACATGGATCTTACAAGTAAAGCAATCACATGAAGATAAAAAACTTTGACTAAAAACTTGAATAAGTCCGCTTTGCATGATCGAAAACTCCAAAAACACGTTTGAACTCAAAACTTCAACTTCAAATTTGTTGGTGGTAAGTTAATTTTATTCATATCACCTTACTCACACAATCAACTAGCTGTCAAAATGTGTAAATGCAATTATATAGCACAAAAAAAAAACATCAAGCTAATATCAATACTGAAACCTTTTTGTTCAGTTTGATAAAAAAAATGTCCGCCTCAAATGCACAAAGTAAACTGTTTTTGAGACGGACTTATTGAACTCGGTACTTCCCAACCCTCCCCTACTACCAAGTTACCGTGGTTCTCTTCGATTCCTTCCGTGATGGCTTCAACTTCTCTCTGCTGGCAGTAAGTTCCTTTAAACTCCAGTCCCCTCATTTGAAACGTCACCAATCCATTCCCCAACTCGATTATATGAACTAAACAATTCAAATAATCTGAAGCCAAGACGAAACAATCTCCTTGATTCACCAATCCCCATCTTCCCATAATCAAGTCTCCGCACAAAGAATGTTGCAGCGACCGTGTCAAATGTTCGTAAAAAATCGAGTTTAGATTGTTGTCGTCAGCTCCTAAATTTCGATCCAGATGCGATGACAGCGGTGTATTCGAGTGGTCAACTCTTCGAGTGTTATAGTCACGTTCCCAAAATTTTACAGGTCGAACGTAGGACGTTAAGAAGATGGCGCTGCCTAAGAATGGGTTCAAAGGTGTTGAAAGTAGAGCCGAAATGAAGGCTTGTACAAAAAGCATTGCGGAATGAGGTACTGAGAATGGTTGAGCGAAAGCATGGAAAGCCGAGCCCCACGTGATCTGCCATGGAGCGATGTAAGTCACCACGAATTGGACCTAGAATACACAACTTGTCTATACTGGTTATCAGTTTAGAGGTGTCCTAAAATTGTCGCATAAAAGGATGCAGAGATATAGATAATCTGGTTATTAATTGAACAAGGGATTATATATAAGTTCAGAAGACTTTACTCCATTTGTTATATTAAATATCACCGAACAATGAATCTCAACACATCAAGGAACTCTTTTTGGAAGCAAATTAGGTTACTTAGTTTATGACATGAAAGCGTCTCATTGGCACCAAATTTTAGAGCTCAAAGACTAATATAGGGTTACCTAAGAAATTGTGTTCGCCAACCACGTCGGTTAATAACGTCTGAATAATGCCAACGTGGTTGGAGAAACGCGTCGACAGTTTTTCTAATTCTGTATTATCGGTGTTATAATAAAGGTAATACACATTTTACAACTTAGTAAAGTCGACCTATTATTTTTTTTTTCATGATTTTTTGTTGCAAACTAGTGTAATATTCAAACAAGGCATATCACCAATTTTCTTGAACGATGTATATCCTATTCGCATTTATAAATTGGTTTTTCCTAATACACACCATTTTTTTTTTAACGATTGCGAAATATTGATCTCCTACTTCTGAGGATGCTTTTTGAAATACATATTATCAATAATGCATTACATGTACCAATTACAACAGCGATGGGTACTAAAAAAATCTTCAAATTGAAACTTCATTATCTTATTAATTGTACTAATATTAAATTTTTAAAAAGCAGATATGTACTTGTAAAAATAGAAAAATACTCCATCTGAAGTATCAGATATAGGATTTTTTTCTAGTAAGCTACTAGTTTTTACTACCTAGCCTCGTCTTTTGTCGCAACTGACTTTGTTTTGTAAATACAATTTTAACTTATTTTGACAACAACAAAATTTTATATTTAGTACACATGTTACAAACTTTGGGTTTCGTACCTTGTCAATCAAAACGAACTTAAGCATAGATTGGAAATGACATATTTACACTAATACACTTTTTGTGACAATTCTAGAACACCAATATTAATCTTACCTTTAACAGTAGTTCGTAGAACTTGTGGAATATGATGCTCATAAAAAAGTACTCTACAAGGAACGTCTGCTGAAGGAAACCATAGTCGTACCGAAAAAACAAAGCCGTGAAAGTGACAATGAGGTACTGGAAACCTTGATTCGAATAAGAGCCTCGCAAACACTTTAAGCCACACACAACAACAATGAAAGAGCCTTCAAGTTTTCCAAACTTTTTCGCAACATTCGGGGAATCTTCAGTCAAAACCGACAGGAACAACAATGGATACAAAATATTCCTCTCCACAAAACACAAGTAAATGTACATCTTCTCAAACCACATGATTTTAGCAGGACCTCTTATCTGATACTGCATCAACTCCCTTGATCTCAATACAGGGTTAGCTATGAACATCCAAGGCAGTTGTTTCCTTAATTGTGGCGTAACATAGTGTAGTATAAACCCCAAAACTGCTGAAATAATCCACAAGACGGGGCTCAACTCCGGTTGAAGCGCCGTAAATACAGTACTGGCATGCACACTGAACACTAAAACCGCTATTAATCCGCACAAAATGATATCATTTTTAAGTCGAGCGTTTACGGTTTTTTGCAATTTGTGAGGTAAAGGGTCCACATGATCCACTCCAGCTTTAGTCTCGCTGGTTTCACTCGGAAACTTCACCGATTTTTCTTTCTTTTCAGTTAGTGGTTTCTCTTCTTTGCTCTCTACTTTATCGACTTTATCTTTACTATGTTCCCTGTAGAGATCGGTAGGCAACACGTGTCTCTTCACGATGTTCCATATATGAGAGGGGTCGCTTGCACTTCTACTCAAATGATAAGAACAAGCCACTAAACAGGCACAAAATATCGAAAACAAAATATGTCGGGAACCTTTCGGTTCGATTAGACCTCCATAGGCAAAACCGGTCATTACACTCACAGCCAAAATCGAACGGAATATGCAATAGAACGAAGCGAGAAGACTCGACATTGCATTTCCGCCGAAAATATGCATATCGATCTGTTCGAGAAGATACATGACGAAGGTGTTGACTTGAGGAAACAAACCTAGCGAAAACAATATCGGAAAAAAGAGTATGAACTTGACGAGAAAATCACGGATGAGTAACAACACCTGCGCATTTGTCAAACCCCCGCTGCTAAGACTATACGACTGAGCTTCAGAGCTTTGGTCAATATAGGAATTTAGAGTGAGGATGACACAAGAGCATATGCAAAAATATATAGGTCTTGAGTAGGCTATGATCCTATTAAAACCGTGAGTAGGCGACGCCGCGTCAGGCTGCACACTCTTAATTAGCGAATATTGGCAACTCGCCATAACGAAACAAAAGATGAAAGCCATCAAATCTTCGTAAAAATTATAATACAACAAAATAGCACCAGAAACGGAGACTAGAATCCCGAAAAAAATCGACAGCAACGTTTCGAAAAACGTCAAGTTCCTATCTAACAACGCAAGCAGTTTCAACCGATCTAAAGTCACTTTGACGTAAATCCACGGAAACACTTTAAACTTGTAAAACGACTTCGTCCTTGGGTAATTGTTATTCACTTGATCGGAATTTTGAATAAACTTAAATTGGTTTCTGCCTAAATTTGCCTCGACATCACCGTCGTTATCACCTTGCACTATACTAATCAATGAGTCGAGGGGGTCTATCCCCGGATTTGATAAAAGTCTGCGACGGATTGAATCTCGCACTCTTGAGGGCTGTGATGGATGAATATCTGTTGAACTCTGGACAGGGATCATGGTGTTGGATGGAGTCTTTGAAGGGGGGGCGTCTAAGATTATAGACACTGAGCTATTACATATCGATTCAGTGCTGTTGCTGTCACATAAATCTTGGGAGTTGTTCCTGGTGGTGCGCGATGTCGAGGCGGTGTCACTTTGACGACGGCGAACCGACGACGTTTTGTTGCTCGTAGAGGGCTTGTCTTGAAGTCGAGTATTTGCTGTTCCTATAAGAAGTCATTTTTTTCAGTTTCAGCTTTTCAACAACAATAAATAATTATAAAAGGAAATTTAACCAATATTGCGTAGTTTTACACATTAAAAATGTATCTTTACGAGTTAAAAAGCACATAAATATTGATATAGCAAAAGTTAAATAAAACAAGACGGAAAATTAAATACGAATTCTAAAAAAAATACTATATTTTACAGCGCGGCGATCGTAATAGTTAGTAATACCAGTTGGCCGTGGTAATTCTAACATATAAAATTTTTCAAAGTAATTTTCAACAATAATTTTCAAAAGTGAAATTTGACAATTTTTAAAATCTTAATCTTATTTTCAAACTAACTTTATATTCAGGGGTAAGACCCGTCACAAGACAATAATTGTTGCTATCAACGCTGGTATTAACACGAAGAAAAACATAATTATTTCAATTACATGTCCTCTCCAGGCCTTCAACGCTGCACACATTCGTTTAAATATTTAATTAACACAGCGCTGTTTCAATTAAAACAAAGTAATCATCATTTAAACTTACCCAATCCTTTTTCGTCAAACGTGTAAGTTATCCAATTCCCGTGTTCGTCCATGAAACAGTGCACAGACCCGTCCGTCGTATCGTTGAAATTTTTGGCACAATGTGTTCCATGTCCCGCCGACAAAGAACTCGCTATTGCACTATCCCTCTTACTTCTTTGTCCAGACCTCCTCCTACTCACCCGACTCCTCTTTAACCTACTCCTCTGCGGAGAAGCGTGGTTCAACTTAAACCCTTCAGTAGGCGGCAAATAAACAGACAACGGATAATCCCTTCTAGAGGCCAAGAACGCAGACAAAAGCGGAGGCGTCGGTAAAAGCGTACTCAATTCATTATTAGAACCACCTGATGATCCCTCTTCATTCCGGTCTCTGGAATTCTTTTCGTAGCGTTTCGAAATGTTGACTCTTTGGGATTTTTGCTGGGGTACGACTATACATTCGAGTCCTTCCACTGGACTAGGGCACTCGTTCTGTCTAAGCGTTTGGGTGATTTTGTTCTCTTTTGATGACCTCGCAGGTTCGTTCTCCTCGGACTGTCGGTCGGACTTACACCGACACATGCTGCATTTTTCTGATTCGCTTTTTGGGGTTCTGCGGCCGGATTGATCGTTGTGACTAGAGTTGGTACGCGATTTCTTGGGGATCGCACCTAAACTGCGAGCTGAAGGAACTGGATCTTGTAGGACTTTGCTTACGTCATGTTCTAAGGATACGGTCGTGGTACTTGACCATTCTGTGTCTCTTTTCAAAGGTTCTGGAAGTTAGTTAGGTTGGGGATTAGTAGTTACAGTTCAACCACAAGAAACCGCTACAGGTACAACATTTAAATGGTAGGAGACGGCCTGGCCTGGCCTAGTACTGTTCTATATCGGTTTTGGTAAAAGTTTACAAATTTGTAAAATTAAAATCTATAAAAGTGTGAAATGAGGGATTATCTACTCATGGCGATACATGTACAGTTGATCATTGCTGAACTCGTAGTAATCCAAAAAAAGGGAACATTACACAATACATATAAAGGGCTATAATAGCATCTTAACGCATAAATAATACCATGAAACACAAAAAACCCTCCTAAATCCATTACAATTTTCATTTTCAACCAATAACAGTCCCTACATCCACTTGTATGGCGCCACGACGTTATTAAATTTCTTCGATAAATAATATTACATAATTTGATTATTATCATTATTATCATTATTATGAAACAACTCGTCGTCACTATTAAAGTCTCCTTTTTGTTATTTATTATACCAGGAATTTTTCAAGACCGTTGCGACATTTTATTAAAATTAATTTTAATACATTTTTTCTCAACTAAAAGGTACAATCTCGTACAGAACGAATAGATATTTTAAATATGAGAGTGAACAGGGTTTATTTTAATAACGTGTATTTAGAAATAAATATCTTATAAGAAATTCTATTGTTCCAACTCATACTCCGAATTATTATTTGAAAATAAACATTCACGTATTCTGCTTGAGGCACTATTATAAAGGAAAAACTAGAAACTTGGCTATAATTGCCCTGTTACTTCCACAAATGTATTGTATAACATGTTATTAAAGAAAAAAACGACAAATTAACTAACAGTGAAAGTTATACAAAGCTGTAAATGAATATATAACCACTAAAATTGATAACCGCAAAAAACACTTCTGGGTATTTTTCTTTTAATATAAGAGTGCGTCATGAAACAATTTACAACCAATTCAATGAGTAATCAAAGCTCATTATTTAAACCTCAATTATTTACTGGTATTTTTTACTGTTTCAATTGTTAGGATAACATTAAACTAAACAAACAATACCAACTACGCTGTTGTGTACACCTAGTAAAAATTCTGCACTACTAATCCAGTCCAATTTAATCATAAAGTCGCAAATGAAGAGTTGTGTTTTTTTTTTATTTAAGAAACAGAATCGAAACAGACGATTTTTGAGATGTTAAAAGATACTTAGATTTGATGATTTTTAAGGTAAGTGTCCACTTGCGAGAAATCGCCTCAAAATCAGCCCTGGAGAGCTCCGAGTCCAGTCGAGTAAAGACGAAACACTGATCGGCTGATCTCGCCGCGAACTATATTCTCTCCAGTGGACAAGCCAAACTGCGTTTACTTGCGAGTAGAGATGGGAATTATCGTTACTTTGGTGTATTCGTACGTATTCGTTACATTTTAAAAAAGTAATCGTTATTTATAATCGTTACCTCGGGTATTGATTACTCAGTGGAACTCGCTTTGGTATGGTTTTATTGCGGTATGAAAATATCTAATAATTTCTGGAATAATACAAAAAATATATTTAAATCATAAAAAAAAATTAAAATAAATCAAATAATATTACATAGAATAAAAAAAAAAAACAAAAAACTTACTTTATAAATGTATTATTATTTAGTAACTTTGGTTACTTCATTAAATTTTTGTCTGAGAGTAATCAAGCGAAGTAACAAAAGGCCGCATTATTTTTAACTTATTTCTTTTTCTATATTCAACATTCAACTCAACTTGAATGCGAAGTGTTAGTAAATAAAAGTAAGGGTATTTGATATATAGGAGGTCAGTAATTCTCGGTATTTCGGCAATCGATTCTTGATTCCTTAGTATTTGAATCCAGAATGCATACTCGAAATCACGAAATGGTCAGTAATCATTGACGAATAGTAACGATTACTTTTCAACTTCGATACTCGGTAGTTCGGGTCTCATCGTGTACCGAATACTTTGTAACGAATAGTTACTACCCGTCCCACCTCTACTTGCGAGAGATACTGTCCGTGTGAACAAGCTTCGAATTGGGGAAGTATTCCCCGAGAGTAAGCAGTTCATCATAAATTATTTCTCGAGTAAAGCCGACTTATTTTACACGTTTATGATTCTATGCAAACAGTCGTGAAAAGGACTACGCAATTCGGCCAAATCTGATCGTTTACCTGACTTCAACATTTATACAGCGTTTTGAGATAGGTAACACATTTTTATGAAATTATTAAATACTAAAAAAAATGTAAAACGAAAATAAATGACTAAATTATGTTCATTTGTCGCAAATCTGAAGCAAGTAATGTGAAAAGTAGACTAGATTAACTTTTTTAATTTATAATTAAACATCATAGTTTGTATAAGTGATTCTGATTATACTTCATTATTATTATTATTATTTTGTTGTAGTACGAGATTAAACTATGCACAACGAAGTAAATTCATTTTTTATTATTCAAATAACGTTTTTAAATGAATTTTTAATAATAATTTACATATTAGGTACTACAAATGTATTGTTAAGTAGCATGAGTATTCAAAAATTAATATTTATTTTTATTTTCGGTGTTTATCCACAAGTGCTTTTATAAATTGATACCTGCCTCACCTGAAAATATAATTATTAGGGACAATAATTTTATAGATGTTTTTACACACTACAACATTGCATGTAATTGTCCTTTGATGAATCATAACCTGCCGGGATGATAATCTTCAGGTGCGGGTCGTATTAAGCGCTCTTACCAATCTAACCCGGGAGACAATTTACCTATACCCTTTTTGCTACCTGTTTTCCCAGCATTTACATTTCAGTTGAATTTCTTGAAAGAGGATTAACAAAAAGCTCATAAAATCATAAATTATTTGTCGGTCCAGCACAAATCGCTCGTTTCTCTCGCTAGTGTACCCGAGCAGTGGACAGGGTAGCAAATTTGCTAGAACTTGGGCTCTAGTTGGAAACCAAAGCTGTGCCTCTCTGGAGGTACTTTCACAATACGAACACGTTTCGAATTCCTACAGTTCTGTCCGCGAGTGGTGAGCTTTGCCATGGCCAAATTTGGATGGTCAAAAGACCAAACTGCAGAACTAATTGCACGATATGGAAAAAAAGGACTATAGAAACCGCGTAGCATACACTAAAATTATTTTCAACTATACAGAGTGTTCTGTTTTTGAGGCGTAATATTCAACGTACTTTTTTAAATAGAATGCCTAATTCTAATTTTCTAAAGAATTTTTGTAATGAAGCGGTTCACAAAAAAATCGCAATCGTATTAATTTTAAGATCTGTGTTATAATATTTTATGGGGAGGTAAACAAAAGTACGTGCTTTGCTATGGTATCAATTAAATTCATTTCTAATATGCTGAGTCTTTATAAAAACAAAACAAAAATATTAACAATTTTCAAACATCGTTATTTCCGTCAGCCCATTCTCTACTTTTACGTTTTCTCGACCTTTCATGACCCCTAGAGTACGAAAAAATAAGTCTCTAGTTTCCGTCTGTCTGTCTGTCCGTCTGTCTGCCGTCCCGATTTTTATTATACAGATAATCTCCAAAAGTACTGGGTCGATTCCAGATTTTTGGAAAAGAAAACATAAAACAACATTTTACAATTTAATTTTGATTCTTACAGCTGTTTTAAAGTTATGATAAGCATAATAAACTTTTAATCAAAATATATTTGCTTATCCCCTCCAAAAAATTGATAACGTCAGTTCAAAATTTTGCCGAATAATTTCCACCCGAAATGTGCAAAATATATATGATCAGTATAATACTTGTAATTTATTATTGTGTTCATATTTTTTCGATTTGCTTATACAGGGCGACTCAAAAAAAAATGAATGCGTGATTTTAGTTTCCTGAATAACACAAGAATTGCAAAACTGAATAGGTACTTTGAAATCTTCCAGACGTTTTAAGGTTATTGTAAGCGTGGTAACTTGTTAATCAAAACATATATGTTTATTCCCAACAAAAACTTGATGACGTCATCTCAAAATTTTTCAGAATAAATTCTATCCAAAGTGTGCAAAATATGTTGAGTTTTTAATTGTGATTTATCACTGCATTCATATTCATCTACTGTTATTTTTAGTATTATACTGCACCAATCCAAGTTGATATACGTGACCTTGCAAAAATGTTGATGACGTCATCACAAAATTGTGTAAAGAAAAAACTCAACTCGAAAATGTTAGATATGTTTCATAGTTCTTTCGGTGCGAGGGAAGTTCTGTCGAAACAACTTTCGACCAATTTTTTACATTTTTAAGAGATATGTGGAAAGAAGATTTTACGTAATATTAAATAAGAGTAATAATTGCAATGTTGATTTAATCAAAATCAACTCTACATTAAAATTGTATGACATTATAATAGAGGGTGGGATCATATGAATGTGACAACCTGTGACACAGAAAAGAAAGGTCCAAAAACCCCAAAATGTACGTGACATAACCTATGGAGAACACCTTATTTTGTTCAATGATTTACATCATACTTTTACATATGTACCTGATACAAAAAAATCGTAATGTTACTATTACTCTTTCATGAATAGAAATAGCATCGTGCATTTGCGTATTTCTTAGCACAATTTTAGGTCCACATAATAATTTATGTCCTCTTACTACCTGTTTTCACAGCTGCAATATTTTACCGTATTTCGTGAAAAATAAATTAACAAAAGGCTCGTAAAATCATAAATTCTTTGTCGGTTCGAGTAAAGAGGGTCCATTTTCCTCGCAAGTGCAACTGTGTAGTGGACAGGGTTTTGAGAGCTTTGTCTGATCGACATCTATCGGCGAGCAAAATTTGCCAAAATATCCTCTCAAATCGACAAGCCCTTGAAAGTAACTCTCGCGAATTCTCTCCAAGTCACTCTCCAGTGGACACGTACCTTTAGACCTTATTTGCAAGGTCTAAAAATCAACATTTTGTACACAATTTTCTTAACTATAAAAACTTTGTTAATT